ACGTATGACTAAGACTTAGAAATGGAATAGGTTAAAATGAGCCTTGGCTCGGTTAGGCTAAGATATGCCCGGTGAAGCGCGCGCGCACGTGGCTAGAGCACGGAGCGAGATATTCGACAATTCGGCTCGAACGAAATATTTCTAACATTATGACTGAATAATTTCACATACTTAAATCATAATCGAGCACTAAAACACATAAATTCACATAATTCATGCCATAGTCTTAAATCAAACAACTCGGAAAAATCCAGAAAGCTATCGGTTTCACTTTATAGTCGAGCAAGCGAAACCGTTCTAATATTATAACTGATCGGGGTGTTACATCTGTAATTAAGAATGACATATTCAGAAAGATTGCATGAAACGCAAGTCTAGGTTTGAAAAGAAAGATATGTCCAATATCTTTGTATGTTTCGAATCAAACTTGTCTGAAGTTCCTTCAAATACTTGGTGGTTGGATTCTGGTGCTACAACTCACGTTTCTAATGTGATGCGGGGATTTCTTACAATCCAGAGCATAGACCCAAATGATTACTTCTTGTTTGTGGGAAACCGTATGATGGACCCAAATCAAAGGCATAGAGACTTATCGTATTGTTTTAGATTCCGGGTACCACTTGGATCTTTTTCAAACTCTCTATGTACCTTTATTTTCTAGAAACTTAATGTCTCTTTCTAGACTTGAAGTTCTTGGATTTTCCTTTAAGTTTGGACATGGACGTTTCAGTTTGATTAATAAACATGATTCCATTATTGGTTCTGGAATTCTTATGGATGGTTTATACAAATTGAAACTTGATGTTGATTTTTCTGCATCTGTGATGTGTGTTTATCAAAACATTGGAATTAAACATGGTGTAGCAAATGAAACATCTGCTTTCTTGTGGCATAAATGTTTGGGTCATGTATCCAAAGAAAGAATGCAAAGGTTGGTGAAAGATGAGATTCTTTTGGATCTAGATTTTACCGATCTTGGGTTGTGTGTGGGTTGCATTAAGGGAAAGCAAACCAAACATAACAAGAAAGGAGCCACAAGAAGCAGTC